ACTATCAAACACAACAATCTAACTGCCTGATTAACTTAATTTGGTGGAAAGATTTTTTATTTTTATTTTAAAAAAGGTAATGTTCTTACAATATTTTATAGTATTTGGTTAGTAAGCAATGAAAAATATTGACCCATAAATATTTATTTTATAAAATGTAGAAAAACACTATGGCTGGGTGGAGTGAGGAGTCATGTGGATTCGAGGATGGGACAGAGCCAGTGACTTTATAATGTTACTTGTAAGAAAAAAAATCTTAAAAAAGTCATTTTGCTTATTTCTTAAGGAAAAAAAATGACTTACCAAACACCCTATATCAATACTCCCTTCGTCCATTTTTAATTGTCATCTTGCGTTTTTTGGAAGTCAATTTGACTAATTTTTAAAGTTAAATTAGATTACATTAATTCGATATTTTAAACAAAATAATTTAGATATTCAAAAACTATACGAAAAGTACTATAAATTACAATTTTTTACATATCAATATGATAAAAAAAAATACATCATAAAATATCAGTCAAAGTTCTTATAATTTGACCCTAAAAAAGGGAAACCATGACAGTTAAAAGTGGACGGAGGATATATATATATTTATAAGCATGTGACCTAAATCAATTTCTTTACACACTTCAATAATTATATTAAAATAAATTATATGATCAGAAGGATTCAATGGTTTTATATATATACATAAATAAATAAAAATTGTTTTTCACGTGAGTAAAAGTGTAAAAGAAATAAAATATATAGAGAAAAGATATATAAATTAATTTGTATTGATGGTATGTGATCCATATGTAAGTTATCCAAAATGCATGTGTCGAATCATAAGTGAGTTTCGACGATATTGTAACGTAGGAAAAGGTAAAGTAGAAATAGCAAATATATTTATGAGTGGCCTAGTTGTCCAGCTAGAGGATAAATTTCCCCATCACCATTTAATTTCATGTACTATCATTTCCAGCCTAAGGACAATTATTATGAAAGTGACTTCAATATATACCCCCATACACACAGGTCCAAGACATAATTGGTTGTTTTTGGTCATGTAAAAATCAATGTACTACAAGATTATGTAACCTTTTCTTTTAGGAATGGCACATGTCGTAAGAAAACAAAATGGGAGGGAAATAATTATTGTTACTGTTTATAATAATTCACAAGACAAGTCCCTTTCAAACGTTTCATTTAATTTTATGCTGAATTGTTCTTATGATAACGTGGTTGTTGTTAAATGATTATTATTTGTTAATGGATGATTCCTAGGTTACAAATATTCAATAGTTCCTGTATTTGATAATGCAAAGAAAAAGAAAAACACTTTAGAGTAAAAATAATTTGGTGGGCGTTTAGCTATTATTTCAATCGACATCAATTTGAAAAGTTTCTTAAGTAATTTAAAACTGATCCACGAATAGTTTAAGTCTTTATAGTGTTTGAATATTTTCTGAAGTTTAAAATAGTTAGATATCATAAGTGAAATAATGATTAAGTTTTAAAATTGAAACTCAAAAGTATACATAAGTACTACTAAAATAAGTACCATAAGTGAAATAGTGATTTAAGTTTTAAAATCGAAACTCGAAAGTATACATAAGTGAAATAATACATTTAGTAAAAGTAACTATTTTATCAATTTTGTCACTCTTTACCTTTAGAGCCTATAGAGGCGCACAATAACTAGGCCAATAGACTGATTTTCTGTTGTTGGGCCCTGAAAAAGCCTTTAAGCAATGAGAGTAAGCTTCGCGGGCTCAAAAAATGTGTTTTCGAAAATCTTTCAAAATTGAACACATTTTTTGGATATATACTAATAAAGTATTAAAAGAAAAACCAATAATTTGGATATTAATTACATCATATCCCAATTTTTTTCCAAATAACAATAATCCTGAGTTTCTTAGAACTCGCACATTGCTTCTTCGCCCAATACATAGCGAACGATACATGAGTTATGTATCAAATACATAACTATAAATCAGATTCATATTGATTTAGGTTTGAGATAATCAGAGTTATGTATCAACAATAACATTTGTACCAGATACATTGTATACAAATAAAGTTGTAATGTATCATATAGAGGTGGAGTGATGTATCCGGATGTTAAGAGAGAGAAGGAAAAAGGAGATTTTTATAATCAACTCAAATGGTAGAAATTTTTAGTGATTATGTTATCTTAAGTGGTATACTAACGTAATTTTCTAGTCACGTCATACGAACGGAACTATTACATAAAAGTGTATTTATGCCATGTACACCCAAAGAATAGCAACAACAGGTTTCTAGGATTAAAAAAATATATTTAAATGAGTTATAAATAAGGAAAATTACTTTGGACTCAAAATTTATTTTAACGAGTTTGTTATAAAGAAAATAAATATTCTGCCGTTCTTGTTTTTCATCGCGTTAGTTTTTACAGTAATTTTTTTTGTTGATCGCCATTGAAGCAAAAATCATCAGCACAATGGCTACAATCTCTAGCACACCATTGAGCGACATGGAGCTTAATCGTTTTACCCAAATTGTCAACAAAGCTGTTGATGCTGCTGCCGAAGTAGTACGTAAATACTACTCCAACGCCGCAAGATTCCAGTTCAGGGAAAAGGACGGCGACGGACCAGTCACCTGTGCCGACAGAAGCGGAGCAAGCCATAGTTTCCGTCATTCTTGAAGAATTTCCTTCTCATTCGATTTATGGGGAAGAAACTGGTTGGCACAATCGTGATTTTGCGCTTCTTCCTGATCAATTTATATGGGTTTTGGACCCAATTGATGGGACTTCGAGTTTTGTGGGTAAAGATAATTGTGCTTTCGGCATTCTCATTGGGTTGGTTTATCATGGAAAGCCAATTATTGGGTGCATTGATCAGCCGATTCTGAAATTGAGATGGGTTGGGGTTAAGGGGAAAGGAACCACCATTAATGGCCAAGAAGTTTCTACAGTGGATTGTTGTGATATGGATAAAGCTAGGGTTCATTTGACGGTTCCGAATTACAACGATGATGCGAAGAAAGCTTATGATAGTCTTGCGAAGAAGGTGGGTAAGAGGTTGTTCAATGGGAACTGCATTGTTTTTGGTGAGTTAGCTTCGGGTTTTGTTGATGTTATGGTTGATTGCGCTCTTGATCCTTACGATTTTCTTGCACTTGTTCCGGTGGTTGAGGGCGTTGTTACTGATTGGGAAGGGAATGAGCTTATCTGGAATGCTTCAACTCCGGTGGTGCCGGAAGGTGGGTTTAAGATTGTGGCAACTGCCGGAAAAACCACTCATCAACATGTAATTTCTGCACTTTCACAATGATTTTGTTTAGTTGTTTCATAGAGTTTATGCTATTCTATAATGTTGCTCTTTATTTTTTACTTTTCTTGTTGCTTATGAATTTTAATGGAATAAAATGATATTAGATAAAACATACTTCACGTTTGTTACAAGAAATATGTGATTAATCAAAGTATGCATCACTATCGACAATTCAAATCATAATAAACAAGTATTGCTCTGCAGAATTGCGGAATTCATTAACACTTTTACAGAATCAGTTAATAACATGAAGAGTCATATAGACAAATCCCGGGAGCCAAGAAGAATCCAAAACATAAGCAAATCCCAGCAGCCCATCCTTCACACAATGAAGGGCATGCTTTATGGGCACATTATATCCAAATCCCAAGAAGAATCTAAAACATGAATGATGCAAGCAAACAACGACGACGTACCCAATGTAATTTGTATAATATAAAACAGGCTAGATGCTAGAATTTGCAAATTGGGTCTTAAGATTGGAAACTGCTGTCCTTGTAGCCTGAAGGGCCAATAAAGCAACAGATTAGCTTATGGGGTCATTAAACAAGCTCATTATGAGTTAAATAGATCCATGTTTGTGAAATGGCTGGTCAACAACTTAACTCAACCCTTCACAGCTTCTCTCTTGACCATGCAAAGTCATTACAGAAATACCCTGGATAAATCCTCTTGAGAGATGGAGAGAGATCTCACATTGACGTTGATGATAGTGGATTAGATCAAATTCTAAGACTTGTAAAAACACTAAAGGAAATATCATAATTGCAATATTTGCTGCATCAGCATATTGGAGGCCTGATCTAAAAATCCAAAGGCAGGAAACAATGTTGGATGTTTGCGCTTCAGCTGTCTATCACAGAGTGAATTTGGGTTGCATCGGAAGGACTAAGGTCTAATAAGCAATAACATAGAAACAAAAAAGGACCTTGTGGAGTATCTGAGGGAATGATTGAACGGTGTGGTTGAGACCAAGTACCAACCTGGAGATCCCAGTCCCTGTCCTAGCTACAACACCTAGTGTGTGAGCTATGTGCTCCAACCTTAGTGGGCAGGTTCACCCAGCACCTTGTTTGTGGGTTATAGTGAACTGAGTGGTACCAAATCATGGCAAACTCTAACTACTAGATGTAACCTCAAAATAACAAGGGTCAATATCAAGCCCCAAGGCTTAGTTCAAGTGGCAAAGGTTGACAGACTTGTGACTTAAGTCACAGGTTCAAGCTCTGAGCTATGCGAACTAAGCCTGGTAACGTAAGGAACGAGAGCGACTGATCACTTAAGGAATGAAAGTTGACTGGACACATCATCATCAAAAAAATCAATCTAAGAAAAAAAAAGAAACATATGAAAGAGAGAATTTTTTAGAAGTTGAATGGGATTTTCAATGAGATAACAACTGATGCATGAAGTATATTACGAAATATAGCTACTAATTACTCCGTATATCTTTTCATACTTCGCATAAAATGTTTCCGACAAATCCTATCATGTACGCAATCAAGAAATATGTAAGTCACCTACATATAATCAAACGAACATTAACTACCGTCTACCAACATCAAAATTAGAAAGCAAAATACTAACTTCTTGGAGAAATGCAGTTGCAGCGATCCCACGCTGCCATGCCTTGAGAAGATTATGATAAAACTGAAAGGTCGAGAAAGGGAGAACCATACCATTAAAGAACAAAATGGGATTTATGGGGAAAAAACAACCTATGGCTTCAGCTACACATAGGTGAAACGAAAGTCTGGGATAAATGGAAAAAACAATTTATATTTCTAAAAAAAAATACATAATCTAGTTGGGAATGCTTGTGTAACAGCTGAAGGGGCAAATTACATCTGTTGAAGATTTTTAGTGCTTCCCATGGATAAGTGAACATATACAGTGTCCAAGAGAAGTGGGGTATGTTAAGCTTTTTTCACTATGGAATGAAGAAATATGGATTTAACATCATGTAAGACAGCTAGCCGTATTCAGTCCAACCAACTCCCTTAATCTCAATGCAGCAATGTCAACAGTCACAATCTATCTACACTTCAAATACACAAAAACTAACAAGATACAACACATACCAATATCCTTATATTGCATCGAGGGTCAAAGAAGCTATTTGCTCGTATGATGCATTTATACCACATTGTCTGCTGCAAACAGCATATGTTGAGACCATTCCTACAGGGTCTCAGTCCATCAACTTTCATTAGCAATTGAACCACCTGCAAGGAATTGGTCATATCAAAGTTGACATGTCAAAACAACATATGTGTATATCATCAGTATGCAAGCGATAACAATATATATCGGACTGGGATAAGGTATATTCCGCCTGCATCAAGAAATAGACCAAGTGAAGAGATTATTGAAACAAGGCAGATACCAATTGCTTGTTAATATTTCTTAGATCAATCACAGCCATACAAAGACGTCAACAAGAGGAAGCCTTTGACCAAGAATAAATGGATTCCATATTCTTCTCCTTGTAAATTGGAAAAGAAAATGAAAGGAACTATAATTGAACAATTTACAATCAACCCGGTAAAAATGTCTATATATTTGTCTTGGCTCACAGCTTGAGCAACTAAACATACGAAAAGAACAAATTAACTAGTATATAAAATGAAAGTATAATTGAATTTCATAGTCAATAAATCACAGCTCGCTAAAGTATACGTTAGAACTCAAGGTTGAATCCAATCAATTGACTATTCGTTTTTCCAAGCATATAAAAAGAGCGAGAAACCAAGATCATGCGACTGAGCCTCTCTGAATCTCTGCGACCAAGACCAATGTAGTGTTTGGGGATCGCATATGGGCTGTGTTGCCCATAATTTCTCTGCTGAAATGTTGGTCTTGAACATGAAAACGGCACTTCCAACGGATGTGCTAAAAAGCCAGTTATGGACATCCCAAAACACTTCTACGCCAAGGCCATCAACCAACATGGTATGGTTACCACGGAACTTCCACTTTAGCCTCTTTACCTGCATCATTGGCTTACTGTCCACGCGGATGACAAGGCATGGGTCACTGGTGCCACTGGTATCACATTCAATCACGAGATCATGGACTCGACCATTATCACAAAACTGAGCCTTAGTGCTAAATACCTTCTTACCAAACATATGCTCCTTCTTAGCAATAAAAACAGCACCACAAGCAGCAGGGGTGGCACTTGTTTTCTTGATAGCTTCTTTTTTCATATCACCAAGGAGCAAAATCATTTGCCTTTCGGAAACAACACACACATAGAATCCTTCCAATGGCTCAGGACCAGATCCAAACTTCGCTGACGAAAGGTCCCAACATACATCAATTTTCCTAGAATATGCTTCTAAAGTCTTTGACCCTTTCTTCTTCGAAAACAACCAGGGCTTAATATCAACCTTACAGAGACACTGATTTGTATTATCATCAATCCCAATAGTAAGACCTTGACCCATCAAATTCTTACTCCAAGTAACATTAAGCAAACAAGATTTCCCACGCAATTTACACTGATAAACACAAGTTACCAAATTCTGAGCAGCCTTATTAGCACCTGATGATGAAAAATCAGCTACTTGAACCCCAGTTTCCCCAAAACAAGAAGGAAAATCCCTCATGTTTTAACCCAAAAAAAAAGATCTTTAATTCTTCCACAACTTTAGGTTTTCTTCTAACCCCTTTTCTCCTCTCTCTGATTTATGCACAAAGATTCAATTTTTAACTACAAACAAACAGAAATAGGTACTTTCAGAATTTGGGCACAAAAACAAAAAAGCTTAAAAACAAGTAAAACTTTGAGCTGAAAAAGCAACATACCTCAACTAATCAGCCAAGAAAGACACAAAACTACATCAAGAATTGCTTCAAGTGGGTTGATTTGATCTGAGAGCTATATGTATACCAGATGCATTTTTTGCTGCACACAACAAGAAACCCAAACTTCTTAAAAAGGTGAAGAAAAGGATGAGGGGTCCCTCTAAATGAGAGACAAAAATGGGGAATGTAGCAGTAAAAAAAATAAAAATAAAGAATTTGATAGAGAGTGAAAGAGGGAGAAGGAGACAAAAAGTAGACTACTCAAGACTCATCTCACTATCACTAAAATAAAGATTAAAGACCAACTCTAAATACATAATTTAAAAATACATTTTAAAGATCTGTATAAAAATAAAGGAAAAAATACAGATAGATATACATACAAGTAAGATTATGACAGGCTCAAGTAAAGTAACAACAACTCAGTGTTTCTGGAAAAAGCTGATTTCTTTTTAAAACAAGACTGCTCAATGAAACAAACAGAGGAAAAAGAAAAAAAGAATTCACAGACTGTGTTTGGAATTTTTCTATTTTTGACTTTGCTTTTACCTGACATTCTCACATGTAAAATCAAACTCTTATGATCAGAAAAACAGAAATCTTTTCACAGATCCTCCACTCTTCAAGATTGGATTTTGAATTTAGAAACCAAATAGTAGTTGGTAAAAAATTGATCTTTGTGTAGAAACCATATTGTACTGTACGAGAGTGAAGTCTGTAGAGTATAGAATATACGCAAATTGTGGTAGGATTTTTGAAATTAAATTGAAGGGTACTACTACTTCTTAGTTTTTACTCAAGTGATGCAATGTAATTGAAAATTGTGCATTTATCTCCTTCATTCTTTAATTAAAAAGTTGAGATATTGCAAGAATCTTGAAATTAAATGTAGAAGAGTACTTCTTAATTTCCACTTTGAATAGAAATAGTGTATGTAATTAATGTATAGAGATTAAGTAATTAAAGGGAATTGAATGTTAGTATGACCATTTACTTGACTTTGATTTTAAAAGAATTTGAAGGAATTATGTACTACTTTCTCTGTTTCTATTTACTTGTTAAATTTTGACTTGATACATTTACTAAAAATAATAATTAAATAGTGAATTCACCATTTCACATCTTCTAACTAATAGATTAAAATGATGAGTAAAAAAAAATTAAATTAAAAAATATTTGACAAATAAATAGAAACGAACAAAGTATGTAAAAAGCGGTGGGGGTCCAAAGTCCAAACTTCCAAGTGGTTACCACGATGTTGCATTTAATTAGTCTAATATGCATGTGTTACATAAATCATTTATAATCCCAAGGGGTGCTACACCAAAAACTTTATAATCTACTATCATAACTTATACACTTATAAAATTAGAATTTATTTTTTATAAATGAAGAAATCTTCAATAGAGAATATTATTATATCAAAAAAAACTTTTAGCAATAATAAATATACATATTAATAAGAGCGTTAAAATTTTAATCAACATTAGTTAATTGTTATTAGATTCAATGTCATTATAAATTTTAGGGACATTACAAAGAATGTTAATTACTGCTAAAAATATATATATTATTGATAATTAAATTATTATCGTTAATAAATTACCATTAAAAATCATTTTTAATATAGCGGTAAGAGGTTCATTTAAATATCCTTTGTCAAAATATTACGTTAAATATATAAGGTTAAAACGTTTTTTTATTAGTTACATATATTAGATTTCAAAATTTCTCGACTTAATCGTATTTTGTATGTACATATTTTTATCTGAGTCTTGACTAGTCAAGCTGATGAAGTACCAAATATCAAATACTACTCTCTCCGTCTATTTTTATTTGTCATGTTGTGCTTTTCGAAAGTTAATTTGACTAATTTTCAAAGTTAAATTAGATTACATTAATTTAATATTTTAAACAAAAAAAATTAAATATTCAAAAACTATACGAAAAGTACTATAAATTGCAATTTTTGCATATCAATATGATGAAAAATACATTGTAAAATATTAGTCAAAGTTTTTATAGTTTGACTCTAAAAGAGAAAACTATGACAATTAAAAGTGAACGGATATAGTACTAAACTACTAATTATATAAAAATCGTGCAATGCCTATTCTCACACTTGTATGTCTCTCCTCCCTACAAATTAAAAGAAAAGATAGAGGAAATATAATTTATTTATGAAAATGATTTTTTAAAAAAAATAAAACATTCTCTTGTCTCAAATCCTACTCAGAATTCACTGTTACTCCATCCGTCTCTTTTTAGTTGTTATTTATAAAAATACTTGTTTTAAAATAGTTGGCAATTTAAATAATTAATAGAAAATTAATTGTCTTTTTCAACTTTGTCATGTACATTAATTATTCTAAAATTAATTTAATAAAAACTAAAAAATTAATAAAGGATAATATATTGATTAAACAACACTCCTTATTAATATTTTCTTAATATTAATGGTTGTATCAAACCTTATCACGATAACTAACAAGGTACGAAAGGAGTATTATTTTTAAGTTTATATTCAAGAATTATTATGTTCGATTCACAACGTAATGTCCCATTCCATTTCCATGTCATATGGTCCCCTTCAACAAATAAAAACAAAAAACGAAAAATTAATGTTGTAATTGTAAGTGTCTCAAAAAACCAAAAATAATATGTCTCAAACATTAAGACTCCGGAATTTAGTTCACCCTTGATTATGACCTCAATACCCAACCTCGAGACTTGACCCTAAGAATCAACTCGGAGGCCCGGCCCTAAAAGAGGGTGATTTGGTGGATCAGATAATGGGATGGTAAGGTTAAAAGAGACTTTTAAAAGTCCATTTCAAAAAAAAAATTGTCAAAACATTTAAGTTAATCGAACATAAGAAAATTGAAAAAAAAAATTCTCCATACTGAATGCACTCCCGCAGAGTACAATTTACACTAGTAAGTTTGAAGTCTACTGGAGTTATACTCGAGAAAATTGACAAAAAAAATCATTAAAAATAATTTATTTAAAAAAAAAACTGTGGAATTATTTATATATTATAAAAATGTCATCATTATTTCTCTCCGAATAATTGAATATTATAGCAATAAGTAAGATTAGGTTGGTTTAGTAGGTATTTGTAGAATATCTGAGACCCAACAAATATATTAGAGTTGAGTTGTTGAACAAATATTAGTCTTAGAAAAAAATGATTTGTATATTCCATTTCCTCTTTCTTTATTTTAATTTTTAATTCGGTATTCGATTTTTATTTGAAGAGTTCGATTAATTTGAATTTGTGTCACGTAAGGTCTAGGAAGGAAGAAACTACTTCCTACAAGAATTTTATTTATTTATAAAAATCAAACATAAAATTAAGACCTAACAAATTTTATTGATCTCACCGCAATCGTCGCCTAATTTTGTTAGTCATTATGGACACAAGTTTAATGCGTGAAGGACACGCTTTTGTCTTGAACTGACAATAGATTCTTAGATTATGCTTCATAAAGTAGTACTACTCAACTATTCATTAAATTAAACTTTATTAGGCACGTAATCAAGTTTATTATTGCTTCATTGCAATTTCCTTGACTAAGTATAAACTTGTTGTATTAGCCTATATATTAGGGTATCAATATTACAGTTTGTGCTTTTTGTAAACAATAATGAGAATAAAATACTTTAACTTTAACCGTAAAGTTTAACATGAATCATACGTTTTAATCAGAATCAAGAATTATTATGGGCGAACAAATCTAACCAACGAATATTCAACCCAAAATTATCTTAAACTAATGTTAATAGTGATAAGTAGGGAGTCTATATGAAGAAAAAAAAAATCACTAGCTAAGTTATGATGGGATAAGTTATGTTGGGATAAGTTATGTTGGGATTAGTTATGATGGGATAAGTTATCCTGAGATTATTTCTTATTGAGTGTTTGGTTTGTTATATTCAAAATAATATATATTGATAAATTTTAAGAACAAGTTGTTTGTTTACAAAATTACCCTTCACTTTATTTAAACTTTTTAAATATTTCTTTGTGAGCTTTAGTTATTCATTTTTTAAAATAAAACTTTTATTTTATTTAACTTAAATATTTTTGTTTATGTATTCCCATGATAAGTAC